GCCAGCAGTGGGTGTGAGTGGGGCCGAAGCCATCAGCAGGTGCGAGCGGTGGCTGCTACCCCGATCACCCCTCAGGAGCAGGGGGAGGTGGAGAAGCCCTGAGGGGTGATCAGGGCCGGCAGCTGCCACTCACACCCACTGATGGTGCTGAGTGATTGGGGCCGGCGTTGGGCACCAGCAGCAGGTACAAGCAGTGGCTCCAGTGCCGGCAGCAGGTGCGAGTGCTGGGCAGGATCGTGGTGTGCGGGAGCAAAGAGTTTTCAGTAACTGCCAGAGGCTCGCCCCGATGACACTGGCACCCCGCCTTGGTCTGGTGCCCCCGCTCACCTGCTCCACCATCCCGCTGTGGCCGATGCCCACCCTGTTTCACGCTTTGCCACCTGTTGCTGATGCCTGCCATGTTCCATGTGCGCCTCCTGGTGGTCAGCACACATCATAGCAACCGGTTGTTTGGTTGTTCCTCCGTTTGGTATATTTGCATATTAGAGTTTTATAAGATTCTTCCTTATTTCATGTATTTGTAACTTCTTTTTTATTGTTGCATAATAGTCTTTTGTATGAATACACACTCAGATTGATTATCTATTCTTCTGTTTGTTGGGGTTTTAGCTGGTGAGAGCACTGTGAAAGAATTCACAGCTGAGAGAAGAGGTAGATGTAGAGAAAGAGGGAGTTTATTTTACTTTCCAAGAGAGGAAAGGATTGGTGCATTACTAATCAATACAGGAGCAAGAAACAAATGGCGCTGCCCCTTTTAAAGAGTAATGGATGCTGGGTGACAAGGAAGGGAGAATTTTGGACTGAAATGTTTTTCAGGAGACAGTCAAAGCAGATGTTTTGGGGAGGTGTTTTATTAGTATTTTTTCCAAACAAAAGTACTTAAAACAAAAGTTATGAAGAGTTCAAAAGGGGTCTTTTTGAAGGAGAGGAGGGAAGAGAACTTTCTACTAACTAGAGCAGTGATGGCAAAACTATGACACCTGTGTCAGAGGTGACACGCGAACTCATTTTTTTGGTTGATTTTTCTTTGTTAAATGGCATTTAAATATATAAAATAAATATCAAAAATATAAGTCTTTGTTTTACTATGGTTGTAAAGATCAAAAAATTTCTATATGTGACACGGCACCAGAGTTAAGTTAGGGTTTTTCAAAATGCTGACATGCCAAGCTCAAAAGGTTCGCCATCACTGAACTAGAGACTCCTTGGTGGGAATTATCCCTGAGTTCTGAAAACAGCAGGGGGAGGGGTATGCAAGAATGTAACCTTGAGAGTAGCTTATCTTGTCCTGCTATTTGAATCAGAGGAGCTAACAGTCTTGGGGTTTAATTACCAGGTATTTTTCATAAGTTATAGAAGACTACAGCAAGGAAAAAGAAAAGTCAGCAGTCAAGACATCCCTCTCGCAGTCGGGGCTCTTGTAGTCCAGACTCCTAGCTCCTTACCGCCTGCCTGCAGCGGAGACAGGAAAAGCTCCCATCATCGCCTCTTCGCTCATCAGCCGTGAGCCTGGCAAGCCATGAGCCTGGCTTCTGGCTGAGCGGTGCTCCCCCTGTGGGAGCACACTTACCACCAGGGGGTAGCTTCTGCATTGAGCATCTGCCCCCTGGTCGTTCTGTCATTCAGTCAATTTGCATATTAGGATTTTATTATATAGGATAGGAATTTTGTACCTTGTTATATTTATTGAATATGATAGTAACTTATGCAGTTATAAGATCATTTATCCCACAAGTTCAGGAATACTAGGAATATTTATGAAATAGTCATTAGGCACTCTGGCTGGCTAAAGGGCAAGGCCACCAAATACTAAAGACAAGTGACATACTGACCTTGAATCCTAACCTTAATGCATCTTTTTTTATTTTATTTTTTTTTTTTTTAAAAATATATTTTATTGATTTTTTACAGAGAGGAAGGGAGAGAGATAGAGAGTCAGAAACATCGATGAGAGAGAAACATCGATCAGCTGCCTCCTGCACATCTCCTACTGGGGATATGCCTGCAACCAAGGTACATGCCCTTGACCGGAATCGAACCTGGGACCTTTCAGTCCGCAGGCCGACGCTCTATCCACTGAGCCAAACCGGTTTCGGCAATGCATCTTTTTTTAAAAAAATAAATCTTTATTGTTCAGATTATTACAGATGTTCCTCTTTTTTCCCTCCATATCTCCCCTCCACCCGGTTCCCACCCCACCCCATGCCCTTACTCCCACCACTGTCCTCATCCATAGATGTAAGATTTTTGTCCAATTTCTTCCCGCACCCCCCCACACCCTCTTCACCCCGAGAATTGTCAGTCCACTCCCTTTCTATGCCCCTGATTCTATTATATTCACCAGTTTATTCTGTTCATCATATTTTTTATTCACTTGATTTTTAGATTCACGTGTTGATAGATATGTATTTGTTGTCACTTTGTTGTTCATAATTTTTATCTTTACCTTTTTCTTCTTCTTCCTCTCCTTAAAGAATACCCTTCAGCATTTCATATAATCCTGGTTTGGTGGTGATGAACTCCTTTAGCTTTTTCTTGTCTGTGAAGCTCTTTATCTGAACTTCAATTCTAAATGATAGCTTTGCTGGATAGAGTAATCTTGGTTGTAGGTTCTTGCTATTCATCACTTTGAATATTTCTTGCCACTCCCTTCTGGTCTGCATAGTTTCTGTTGAGAAATCAGCTGACAGTCGTATGGGTACGCCCTTGTAGGTAACTAACTGTTTTTCTCTTGCTGCTTTTAAGATTCTCTCTTTGTCTTTTGCCCTGGGAATTTTAATTATGATGTGTCTTGGTGTGGTCCTCTTTGGATTTCTTTTGTTTGGGGTTCTCTGAACTTCCTGGACTTGTAAGTCTATTTCTTTCACCAGGTAGGGGAAGTTTTCTGTCATTATTTCTTCAAATAGGTTTTCAATATCTTGCTCTCTCTCTTCTTCTGGCACCCCCATAATTCGGATGTTGGTACGTTTGAAGTTGTCCCAGAGGCTCCTAACACTATCTTCATATTTTTGGATTCTTTTTTCTTTTTGCTCTTCCAGTTGGGTGTTTTTTGCTTCCTTGTATTTCAAATCTTTGATTTGATTCTTGGGATCCTCTAGTCTACTGTTGAATTTCTGTATATTATTCTTTATTTCAGATAGTGTATGCTGAATTTCTGTCTGGTCCTTTTCCATTTTTTTTTGGCATTCTCATTAAGATCCTTGAAGGTCTCACTAAGTTCCTCAGAGGTCTCACTAAGTTCCTCAGAGGTTTCTAGAAGATTCTTGAGTAACGTTGTAACTGTGGTTTTGAACTCTATATCCAGTAGTTTGCTTTCCTCCATTTCTTTCATTTGTGACATGTTTCTTTGTCTCCGCATTTTGGCTGCTTCCCCAGTCTCAATGCGCTTTCCTTCTAGTTGTAGAACTTCCACTCAGCCAGCTTTCCCGTAGTTCTGGATGATAGCCGTTTTGTCTTTTAGTTGTAGTTTTGATGTGGTTGTAAGTGACAGCAAGTTCAGGTGTTTACCTATGCTGCCATCTTGGTTCCTCCCCCTTAATGCATCTTTTTATCAAAGCTTTTGGCATGTGGCAGTCAGCTCACAAACTCTGCTAATTCAGGGTTTTTCCAATTCTATATAAATTTATTATTTTAATCACGATAGCGATTTGGTATTTAGGGTGACTTATAGTCCTGTTTCTTTTATGGTTAATTTTTTAAAGCTTTTAGAATACTTATTTTGTTTATGCTTTTGAATACATGTTTATTTCTATTGGCTCTTAGATTTATAATAGAAATGTTAATACTAACTACTCCCTGATCTGTAGTAGAAATACCAGTATTCATTGCCCTTATTAATGATTTACTGTCTTTATTGGTTTTTCGTAACATTAAAGACTGCATACATTTCACTAAATATTTGTAGTGCCAAAATTCATTATGCTGGCAGTCATTTTCTGATTGCTCAGTATAAATTAACTCTGACGTTTCTGTTGGTTATTTAGGGCACTGTTTGCTCTGAGTATTTTAACTATGTTGCATTTAGTGGGGCTGTTTCAAAAGTGGCCTCCAGATAAATGAGGTAATGCTAGCAAGTATTAAGATCATGTTTAAAAATTCTATAACTCATATTCCTTCAGAATAAGTAATTGAGATTTCTGTATATATTTCTAACAAATGCTTTCTTTTACAAAGGAATCTAATGATTATTATCCTGTATTTGCTTTATAATAATTATATTATTATTTTCCATGAATTTATGTATATGCAGATAAAATTTAAATCTATATAAGATTTGAAAAGAAAATTTCTTAGGTAGGCTTGATAAGTCTCAAAAACTTGTTTGTGTGGTTTTTATTATTAAGTATATTCTATGTTTGGCTGTTCAAATTTTAAGTTCCATATGAATTAAAATAAATAATTTGATTTCCTACCGGTTGAAAGTATTTCAAATCTAACATTACTTTAAAGCAGATAAATAGTAATATTAGCTAACTTTGAATCTAATTTTACTGTTCTGTTGTACTTATTAACTTTTCTATATCTTGATTTGTATAAGATCAGTTTTATAGCAATGCACATTTTAAATTTAGATTTGGGAAATTATTTATCAAAATGTCATATGATTATAGCTGTTTCTTTAACTTGAGTGACTGGCAACTGTAACAGTTGTGTCAACTGTACTTGATTTTAAGTTGGAAGGAATATAAAAGTTGAAGTTCATTTAAATGAGATAGATGGTTCACAAGAAGTTCTTAGCACTGTGTTGTTAAGGACTTGATAAGAGTCAGATGTTAGCTGCCACAAGTGTTGTTGGCAGAATTACTGTGATTTTATTGTTAAAAATTGCTCCATAGTTTACTTGAATTATGTTTTGTTATGTAATAGTGTTATTAATTTCTTGGGACAGGGATCAGAAAAGGCTGATTTGGATATTACATATATACATAGAGTTATGCTATATATATTAGTTTTTAAGTTCATACGTTTTAGTAGAACTCAGTTTATATTTCTTCTCACAGCCTTATATTCTGTTATATTATTCTGTGTGTTCCTCTGGATCCCTTTTGTCTACTTCTACTATGAGGAAAAGGATGATGATGATACTAGTAAATGCACAGTAAGTATCATTATTTTAGTGGTCTCATTGTAGGGGGGCTGAATGATTATTTCTTCCTTTTTCAAAAAATGACATGATTGAATTTATTCTTCAGCATTGTTGTCTAATAGAAGTATACTGTGAGCCACATGTGAAGTTTAAAATTTTCTAGTAGCTAACCATATTAAATTAAGTACAAAGGAACAGTTGAGATTATTTTAATGATACACTATATTTAATGTCATATGTTCTAAGTATTATCATTTCAGATAGAGTCAAAACATATTAATGAGATATTATATTTTTCACACTATTTTATTTTTTTCTTCAAATTTTTAATTTAATTTAATTTTTCCTGTCACCTTTTACCCCTCTATCTCCTCTCTTCCCCCTACACCCCCACACTCCCCCTTTTTTCACACTATTTTAAATATAGAGTACATTTTACACTTAGAAAAAAATTCCAGTTTGAATGAGCCATATTTCAAGTGCTTGATAGCTGCATGTGACTTGTGACTATTCTAGAGTAGAGATCAACATACTTTTCTGTAAAAGGGCAGGTAGTAAGTATTTCAGTCTTTGAGGGCCATATAGACTCTGTCTGAACTACTAAACTCTGCTGTTATAGTGTGAAAGTAGCCAGAGATGGTACTTAATGAGCATGATGTAATCTAGTAAAATAGGAGGTGGGCTACATGTGGCCCACAAGATGTAGTTTGCTTACCCCTGTTCCAGGGCACAAAGGAACACTTGCAGACTGTTCTAACTAATCCAGGATAACACTGGTAAATTTACCACATATGCATGTCCAGAACTGCAAACCAGTATCACTTAAGTATTGGTATAAACATCTTAACTAAATATTAGCAAATTGAATGCAAGCGTAACTTAAAAATACATTTATAACTGAGTTGGACTCATCTCTAGTTTGTATGGGTGATTTTAAATCACATCTATTAATATGTAGTTATTTAATAGGTCAAAGAAGAAATTGTATGTGGAAAGGTATTTGCCAAAAATGAACATTTTATTTCTGATTTAAGGGGGGAAAAGTATCATAAAAAGAATAAATGTCTTTTGTCTTTTTATTGAGTTACAGGAATTAGTTTTATACTGTGTTTATGTTTTGTATTTAAGTATACAAAAACAAATATATTATTGACTCAAAGCCAGCATTATGCTTAATCATAGTTATTAAAACCTTAAAGCATTTGCATTAAGATCAGGAAGTAAGTACATCAACAATATTTTATATGATTCCCAGAGTGGTAATCAGTGTAATTTGTTAGAAGTAAACAAGATGTTTAAATATTTAAAAAGAAAGTCAAAATTATTATTTGCAGATACTATATAACTCTTTATTTGAAAACCCAATGTATGTAAGGTAAAGTGGCTGGATACGAATTTATTGTTAAAAATTAATGAGATATAACCTTTCTCAATTCACTTTTCTAAAGTGCATCTTCTCCAGCCCTTTTCTTGATCTTAAGATCTTCCTTTATATATTTTTTCCCCTCAAGACTATCTTAACTCCTTTGAGAACAAGAATTTATCATATGAAGCATGAATTTAACTTTTAAAAGGTCATTTTTAGAGACTTCAGTAGGCTGAGAGACTAATAGTTTTTTCTCACTGATTTAACTTTTTCTTTAAGATGAACTTTTCTCCCATATTTAGAATTATTCAGCTTTGTGTTTTTCTTTATATTTGGATGATATCGTGGGCACCAAGTAAAACAGACTTTAAAGACCTGAGTTCCTGGTTTCAGGTTCTTGTTTAATCACTTACCACCTGTATGACTTACGGCAAATTAACCTTTCTGGGCCTCAGCTTCTTTATCTCTAAAGTAGGAATGAGAATATCTATCTCAGGGTCATTGTGAGAATGAAATGAGTTTAAGTGGTTAGAACAGTTCTGGTATGATATATGTTTTATGTTTATATATTTTTTTATATTTTATACTAATATTACATGCTTTATATATAATATATACATGCATGTATATATACATGCATATATGTTAAATATTTATTATAATTACTAGTACAATTCATTTTGGTGAATTGGGGTGGGGGCATTGTAGATTCTTATTGCCCCCTGTTTGGGAGAATATTTTATTAAATATTCTAATAATTTTACTAAAGATGCCCATTGGAGAATTAATTATGCTTTTCACAAGCTTTTATTTATTTATTTAATATTTTTTTACTGATTTCAGAGAGGCAGGGAAAGAGAGAGAGAGAGAGAGACATAGAAACATCAATGATGAGAGAGAATCATTGATCTGCTCCCTCCTACATGCCCCCTATTGGAGATTGGGCTTGCAACCCAGGCATGTGCCCTGACTGGAAATCAAACAGTGGCCTCCTAATTCATAGGTCAGTGCTCAACCACTGAGCCACATCAGCTCAGACATGCTTTTAAAAGATTTTAAAAGCTAATGTAGTTTGCAAAGATGCTTAAGATGTGTTATATAAATTGGTTTTCCTTAAATTTTAAGACTTTTTTTTTTTTTAAATTTACATTTATTTTATTTTTTTTAAAATATATTTTATTGATTTTTTACAGAGAGGAAGGGAGAGAGATAGAGAGTTAGAAACATCGATGAGAGAGAAACATCGATCAGCTGCCTCCTGCACATCTCCCACTGGGGATGTGCCCGCAACCCAGGTACATGCCCTTGACCGGAATCGAACCTGGGACCTTCCAGTCTGCAGGCCGACGCTCTATCCACTGAGCCAAACCGGTTATGGCATTTTTAAGACTTTTTAACAAGGAAAAGCTTACACAGTTGAATATAAATGCACATTTGATGTAAATGTTATATTATAGTAAGACTATTATATTTTAAAGACCTTACTAAATGGTATACTTTTCCTTCCTTGACATCTAGCAAATTAAAACGGCACTTAAGTATACATTGGGATTTGCTGTGATTTGTGCACTTCTTCTTTTAATTGGGTAAGTATTAATTATTTTCCCTTGAGAATGAAAATAGCATCATCCTATCTAATAAAGAGGTCATGTGCAAATTTACCATCACTCCAACACACAAGATGTGGTCAAAGATGGCCGCCCCCATGTGGACATAAGATGGCCACCACAAGATGGCCAGCAGGGAGGGCAGTTGTGGGTCACCAGGCCTGCAGGGGAGGGCAGTTGGGGGGACCAGGCCTATAGGGGAGGGCAGGTAGGGGTGACCGGGCCAGCAGGGGAGGGCAGCTAGGGGCAGCTAGGCCTGCAGGGGAGGGCAGTTGGGGGCAACCAGGACTGCAGGTGTGGGCAGTTAGGGGCAATCGGGCCTGCAGGGGAGGGCAGTTGGGGGCAACCAGGCTGGCAGGGAGGGCAGTTAGGGGCAATTGGGCCGGAAGGGGAGCAGTTAGGCATCAGTCAGGCTGGAAGGAGAGTGGTTAGGGGGTGATCGGGCTGGCAAGCAGAAGCAGTTAGGGGCAATCAGGCAGGCAGGCAAGCGAGTGGTTGGGAGGCAGTAGTCCTGAATTGTGAGAGGGGTGTTCCAGATTGGAGAGGGTGCAGGCTGGGTTGAGGGACACACCCCCCTGTGCAAGAATTTCGTGCACCGGGCCTCTAGTCCTATATAATAAAAGGCTAATATGCAAATTGACTAAACGGCAGTACAACTGGTCGCTATGACATGCACTGACTACCAGGGGGCAGAGGCTCAATGCAGGAGCTACTCACTGGTGGTCAGTAAGCTCCCACAGGGGGTGTGCTGCTCAGCCAGAAGCCAAGCTCATGGCTGGAGAGCACAGTGGTGGTGGGAGCCTCTCCTGCTTCTGTGGCAGCACTGAGGATGTCCGACTGATGGCTTAGGCCCCGGGGAGCGGGCTGAAGCCGTCAGTCGAACATCCTCTGAGGACTCCTGGACTGCGAGAGGGCGTAGGCCAGGCTGAGAGCCCCCCCACCCCCGAATGCACGAATTTTGTGTACCAGGCCTCTAGGTTTAATAATAACAAAAGAAAAAACAAAATGTAAAAATAACAAACACCTTTCATATCACCACCAAGCAGTAACCACAATTAACCTGTTTTATAATGTTGTTTTATCTAGACATTTTGTATGTGCTCAAATACATGCAGAGTGCTCCTCCCTCACATATACTCCCTCTATGTTATAATTTTACACAATTGTGTTGATATTTTATGTAATTCTTGATAATCTACTTGCTGAAATATTGTAGACACCTCTTCAGAATAATAATGTAGATCCATTAATTTTGTCCTTATTGCATTTCCTTAAAATATAATAGTTTACCTGATCTTCTAGTGGTAACTACTTGGACATTTATGATATTTGCAGGTTTCCCATTCTTCTAAACAACACTTTGATGAAAATTCTTGTCTGTGCATCTTTCTAGATATTTTTTTAAACTTCACCCAAAGAGTGAGGAGAATTTTTCCATTGATTTTAGAGAGAGTGAAAGTGAGAGGGAGGGAGAGAGAGAGAGGAGGGAGAGACAGAAACATTGGTGTGACAGACCCATCAATTGGTTGCCTCCCATAAGGCGCCCCGACCCTGGGGTGGGGATTAGACCTACACCCCAGATATGTGCCCTTGACTGGGAATCAAACCCACCACCTTCTGGTGTGCAAGCTGATACTCTAACTACTGAGAATGCTGGCCAGGATGGATTCAGCATAATCAGTCTTTAAGTTGTTGAATTAATCTTTGGCAATGACTTCTTCCTTAATTTTATATTAATATTAATAAAGTTTTACACATTTAAAATTTCCTCTTTGGAAAACATTTGTCCTTTTTAATGGAAGACATTCTTGTTAAAATAAGTCTTGGACCTTTTTTTTATGCTAGAAAATAATAGGTACTAATAATTTTTTTAAAGTTTCTATTTAAAATTTGGTCTCAGAAATTTCAATAAATGAAATTTCATGTATTAAATACAACTTGTGATGGGAATAAAACTTGTCACTAATTTTTTATAGTTCTAGGAGTTCTTAGAATTCAGATGTCCTGTAGGCATATTCCCAGTTCCCTTTGCCTGCCTTAATGTGTCTTGAAAAATAGTACTTGTTGAAAGGACATTTTTAGTGGTTTCACTGCTTATTTTAGCTATTGAGTATATTTTTAAAAGTTGGTTTTTTAAAGAAAGCTAAATCTAGTTTTGTGAATTTGCTTTGTTAATGTGGAGGTCACTTATCTGTAAACTTAAATTATCTTGAACAGATATTAGCAAACTTTTCTTAAAGGGTAGGTATTATTTTAGATTTGAAGTCCATCTGATCTCCATGGCTACTTGTTGGGGCAAGCTCCTCAGCCAGGGACTTGACCGTTCTGGGTGCAGGGAATTGGAAAAACATGCAGGTAACACCAGACAAATGGGGCATGCTTTATTACGAAGAAAGCAGCACAAAACTGGCTGGTCAGTGGCAAGCTCAAGCAAAAGAGGCTTCTTGCCAAGTAGCAATATCAATATTTGGGTTATAGAAAGGTACACCTGCGCACTGCATACAGGAAACTGCTGTGTCCTTGCTTTTGCGCATGTGTGTGGCAAATTGGCCTTGAACATTCTGGTGTACTCTGGACAGCACCCCCACACTACTCAACTACTCAACTCTCCTCTTTAAGCTTTAAAGTAGTTGTGGACAGTACATAAACATAAGGACGTGACTGAGTGCCAATAAAACTTTTTTTGCAAATAGGCAGTCAGTAGTTTGCCAACTCCTGATTTACAGCCTGACTGAGTACCATCAGTAAAACCACAAATCCTTACAGAGACCAGAATATCTGTCCAAAACAAAAGGAATTTTATTCTAAAGTTTATTCTAAAATTTACTGGTCTTTTTTGTGGAAAGTCACCTTTAGTCTTCACAGAGTTTACAGTTTTAACAATTCTAATTAATAAGTTTTAACTGATTCTCTAGATGATATTTATTTATTTAGAAGCAGTATATTAAAAGTGAAGAGATGGCTCCTTGCAAAAACACTAATAACAAGAAGTGACAGTTCCGTTCACTTGTTTTCCAAATATTTATTGTGTGCCTTTTATGTTTCAGACACTACAAGGTGTTGGGGAAACAGCAGTTAACAGAAAAGACAACTCCTCCTTCGTGGAGCATACTTTTAGGAGGGGGCAAGGGGAGGAGAGAAATAAAATAAAAAGTAGGTTGTGTTGTGTGTGTGAAATTTTAGTGAGAGTGTAGTATTTGAGAAGACATTTGAAGGAAGAGAGGGAGCCATGAATTATATGGGAGGAGGAGAGAACATTGCAGTCAGAGAGCAGAGTAAGTGACAAGCTCTCAGGCAGGAATGCGTCTACCATATTCAAAACAAAGTGAGCAAACTAGTGTGGCTGGAATGGAGTGAATGGAGGCTGGAGTAGCTGAAGATAGGGTCCGAGGTCACTACAGCTGCCAAATTTAGTTGGGCATCGTAGGCCGTTGTCAAGACTTGGGCATTTGTTCTGAGGGAGTTGGGAAACTTTTGGAGGTGTTTTTGTCATTGAGTAACATGATCTGCCATTTAAAAGGATCTCTGGTTAGTATTCTGAGATTTGACTTTATGGGGTTAAGGGTAAAAGCATGAGATCTGTTAGGAGGTTATTGCAATAATCTAGACAAGACATGATGGTAGCAGTAGTGATTTATTATTTGGGGAGAGACCCAGCAGGATTTTCTGATAGGTCTGAGAGGAAAAGGAATTGGGAATATACCTGGAGTTAGCCAAACTAAAAAGTCTGAGGGAACACATCTCTCACTCTTTATACTTAAACAACTACAATTTTGAGCGGTTCATAAAACCACCCTCAGGTTAGATAATTCTCTAGCAGGACTCATATAGCTCACTGAAGGCAATTATATTTATGGTTACTATTTATTACAGGCTTAAATCAATTAAAAGGAGAAATACATGGGACAGAGTCTGAGAGGCTTCCAAATGTGACGCTTTTGTTGTCCTCAGGACATACTACCTTTCTGGCATCGACCTGTGACAAGACAGTATTGCCAACTCGGGAAGCTCACATGAGCCTTGGTGCTCAGAATTTTTTGGGGATGCTATTATGAAAACACTAGAGGATTGGTGCATGAAATTCATGCAAGAGTAGGCCTTCCTTCCCCTGGCTGCCAGCACCAGCTTCCCTACGGCACCCAGGACCTGGGCTTCTCTCGTAGTCCCGACTTTGGACGTCCGGTCTAATTAGCATATTATGCTTTTATTATTATAGATATCTGTTTTATTTACTTTCATTATGTATATTGGTAGAATCTTGTAAGATAAAGAAAAATACTAAGAAGAAAGTAAAGATCAGCCCTGGCCTGTGTAGCTCAGTTGGTTGGAGTCTTTCTGTGCACTGTTGTTTCTCTCTCTCTCCCCCTCTCCCTTCCTCTCTCTCTAAAATCAATTAAACATATCCTCAGCTGAGGATAAAAAAAAAAAGATGCAAAATGGTTTCTACTTTGAGTATCTTCCTTTCTTAGGCCCATAAAATTCTTGACTGTTGCTTTGCAAGAAAATACAGAATTATGATCATTGTTCTAGTTAATATTTGCTTTATCATTTGCTCCTTTGTTCATTTCCCCTACACATTAACTTTCTGTTTCAATAACAAATCATACTACTATCTTAAAAGACATCATCCCTAATCCCACAAGGAGATATTTACTGTTTATCCTGGTATATTTCCTTTCTGTTGCTTTCTATGCATATAAATATATTGAAATCATCAAATACATTTATATTCTATTTTCCTGATTTAACACAGAGATTCTTAACCTTTTTTATGCTATGGACCTTTTTGAACATCTTTACTTTATGGCTCCTCCAAATATTTTTGAATGAAGAAAATAAAGTAAATAGAATTACAAAAGAAACTACCCTGAATGCAGTGATAAAACTATTAAAACAAATTTGTGATATAGTAAACACATAGGTAAGAAACTTCTCACACCCTCTGTACATGGTGCAGATTTGATTTGCTAATTCTTTTTTTGGTGAAAGTTGATCTCTGTTTTAAAAAATTACTAAAAATTTAGTTTCAGACTATTTCTTTTTATTTATTTATTTATTTATTTATTTATTTATTTATTTATTTATTTTTTAAACATATTTTATTGATTTTTCACAGAGAGGAAGGGAGAGGGATAGAGAGCTAGAAACATCGATGAGAGAGAAACATCGATCAGCTGCCTCCAGCACGCCCCCCACTGGGGATGTGCCCGCAACCCAGGTACATGCCCTTGACCGGAATCGAACCTGGGACCCTTCAGTCCGCAAGCCGACGCTCTATCCACTGAGCCAAACTGGTTTCGGCTATTTCTTTTTATTTAATCTTTTAAATTTAACACCATTAAACAACTCTTTTCTCCTTTGTAGTGCTTTTGTTCCATTGAATGTTCCCAATAACAAAAATTCTACGGAGTGGGAAAAAGTGAAGTTCTTGTTTGAAGAACTTGGAAGTAGTCGTAAGTATTCTTTTTCTTAAAAAAACACACAATCATAATATTTCATATTTCATGACTGTTGGGACTTTTTTGAAAAGCCAGTTTTTGCATTATTAAGAATTTTAAACTTGCAGTAGAGGTATGCTAGATAAATTAGGAGGTTTGTGTTGTTAAGACTTATTTTAATCACGTAACTATTATGTGTCTAGTCTCTTCATAAAATTACTTCGTTGAAGAGAAAATATGATCTTCAAAGTATTTTAGCAGTGAAGGTATTATAATTTCTATGTGAAGGTATTATAATTTCTATAAGAACCCTATGTTGCTGTTTGATCATGATTAGGTAGTCTTTTATAAATTGCAGAATATAAAGTGAAGGAATTTCCTGTGAGTAAAATAATATTACCAGTTTACCTCATCAAAATGTTTTAGAATTGTTTTTCTAGAAGCTTTCTTTAATTTAGTCAGCATGACCTAGGTTTTTAGAGGAATACAAAATAGGTTCAGGAGGTTAGGTTAAGAAAGTTGTTATTCATTGAAAAATACAGTTGGCATTAGAAACTGATCTCAAATAAGAATGTTTACTTATTACCCAGAATTTTATGTGCTTTTGCACATAGTAACTTATTTTCAAAAAAAGCTAGAAATTTATTTTGTAACATGCTGAACATTTTCATTACTATTTTATTTTCAATTTTTTTTTTTTATCCTCATGTGAGGATATGTTTATCAATTTGAGAGAGAGAGGAAGGGAGAGAACGAGAGAAACATCGATTGGTTGCCTGTCATATTCACTTTGGTCAGGGACTGAACTTTCAACCCAGGTATGTGCCCTGACTAGCAATCAAACCCGCAACCTTTTTGGTGTACAGGATGACGCTCCAACCAACTGAGCCACCCAGCCAGGGCTGCTTTTGTGTTCTTTTAATAGGTACTGTACTTCCTTTAATCAGTAGTTCTTTCTCTTTAACCAGATACGGTATTAAACAATGATTAAATTAAGTCTTGGAATCTTTGCTGTACAACTTCTTAATTTTCTTGCTTTCCACTTAAGATTTCATCTTCTAAATTGTGGTCCATTAATATCTTGCTGATACCAGTAAGAATAAGAATAGCAGGTCTAGCATCCTCTAATACTGAATTGTCAGGATTTATGCACCTGATCCTATTGCTGAGAAATAAATTGCTTCCTTTTTTGCAATTAACTCTTTCAGGCCTCTGGAATAACTACTTTTCTGCCTTCTTAAATATCTTCTTAAATAAGGAGATATTTTTATATCTTCTTATATCTACTTTTATATCTTCTTAAATAACCACTCATATGCCTTAAATATCTTTCTATAAGTTATGCTAGTTTTTGATTATAATCACTGATTATATAGGTAGCATAATGATAATTTCTGTAATCTCATTCTCTTTAGTCTTAACATTATTTTTCAAAATCTCAAATCTTAACACCATACCTAGAGTACATTTTGCTTACCACTATTAATAATATTAACTTTTTTGATTTGCTGAATATATTAGCATAATACTCCATTTTACCAATTCAAAGATGCATATTTTTTCACACTTTTATATCTTTGATTTGGGGATGTATTTGATATGATGGTATCTTAAAATTGCTATCCACCAAATGCCAGACCTTTCCTAGTTGTATGAACACCCTGTTGATACTCCTAGTAAGGTCAAGAAAACAACAGCATCAGTGTCTTTGATTTGATAAAATGGTAAAATACTTATAGTTTAAAAAATTAAGGATTAAAAATTTACCTTGCATGGTTTGTGAATTTGTTAATGTGCTCTCTTCAAGTGTTATATAAAAATTTAGATGCAGGTTTTAAGAAGATATTATTCTAATTTTATTTATGAAAAGGTTAATATTGATTCATTAAATTAATCACAATTATATTTAGTTCCACGGGCCTGCCTTTAAATTAGATCAATATTTTAAAAATTAGCATTGCTCCCATTTAAGAATATTCAAATTTGCATAGTATTTCGTTGCATAATCTGGTATATCATCACTCATTTGAGGTTTTTGTTTAAATAATTTCCAAAATCTAACTTGTTAACATAGTTTTTCTATTTTGGTATTACGTTTTTCTTTTTTCTGATTGTTTGCCTTTTTCCCCCTTTCCAGATGGGCAAGTTAGCACTTTTAAAGCTAAAAAGTGAAATAAACTCTTTAAAATTTTAGGATATATATTAAAAAATTATTGGAAGATTAAGAATAAAGTAATTAGGAATATCAAGATTGAGGGGAGAGGGATGAGTCAAGGTCAGTGGCTTTCCTGTGTAGGTCTGCTATGGAGAAAGGCCAGAAAATTTTTTGCTACCTTTTGAGTATCTAATATTTTGCAGATTTTGTGTTAGGCTCCAAAATTAGTGCTCTTCCTCTTTAATTTTAAGCAGTGAAGGAAAGGAAATCTTAGTCTGAAAGATTGTTTACAAATCAATTTGTGAAGAGATATTTAAAAACACTTTTCTGCACTTGGAGTTTAGTACTTTGAGGAAGAGGGAATACATATTATTATTTCAGAATGTGTAACAAACCCACTTTTTATATTTTTATATTGGTTTGCTGAATATAAACATTTAAATAATATATATCTACTTTTTTAACAGTGTTTTTTTCCCTTTGCAGATGGTTTAGCTGCCTTGTCATTTTCCATTAGTTCTCTGACCTTGATTGGAATGTTGGCAGCTATAACTTACACAGTAAGTATTATGGTGATAATTGAGTTAAAATCAGAGAATCACTTTATGAAGCAGTTGTTTTTACCTTAGTCATATAAAGGGTGGAACAAAAGTAGATTTACAGTTGTGAGTAAGCAAACAGAGTTTATTCTTGTATTGTTATTTATTTATCAACAAGAGGCCCGGTGCACGAAAATCGTGCACTTGGGGGAGGGGTCCCTCAGCCTGGCTTGCACCCTCACAGTTTAGGAGCCCTCGGGGAATGTCTGACTAACGCGTTAGCCTATGGACTGGACCTAAGCCATCAGTTGGACATCCTTAGCGCTGCAGCAGAGGCAGGAGAGGCTTCTGCCACTACTACTATGCTCACCAGCCATGAGCATAAGTTAAAGGGCAAACCCTGTGGGAGCGCACTGACCACCAGGGGGCAACTCCTGCATTGAGTGTCATCATAGTGACTGGTCATTCCACCGTCGGGCTGAAACTGGCTCTCTCACATCCCCCAAGGGATCCTGGACTGCAAGAGAGCGCAGGCCAGGCCGAGAGACCCCACTAGTGCACGATTGGGGCTGGGGAGGGATCGCGGGAGGACTCCAGGGCATGTCCGGCCTGTCTCACTCAGTCCTGATCAGCCGGACCCCAACAGCAAGCTAACCTACTGGTTGGAGCATCTGCCCCCTAGTGGTCAGTGCATGTCATAGCTACTGGTCAACCAGTTGACTGCCCCCTGGTAGTCATTGCACATCATAGCGAGCAGTTGAGCAGTCTTAGCATATCATTAGCATAGTATGCTTTGATTGGTTGAATGGCCGACCGGACTACTGGACACTTAGCATATTAGGCTTTTATTATATAGGATTATTATATTTTCTATATGAACGACTGTATACCTACTTTTGCCCCATCGTATATTGTGTTCAATTTCTGTTTTTTTCTTTAATATTTTAGTGCTTCTTTCTTCATTTTTCTTGAGTTTACTTAAGAGGAAGGTTAATTTTGAACTACTTAGTCACAATCATTTTATCTATGTTTGTGAAAGTTACTATTCAGAAACAAACATTGTAAGTTGTGAACCTTAAAGGTTATAGTATATACCATGCCATAATAGATTTAGTGATTTATTAGCATATTAGAATTCTGGACCATAGATCAGCAACTGTTACTGATTCAGTAGATTTATCCTACTTGGGGGTATAGGACTTTTAAAATCAGATATTTTACATAACTTGATATTTTCCTAGTATATAGAAGCTAATCTTATACTCTCAGAGACTTTGATTTTTTTCAGTCTTCCTAGAAATGGTAAGGTAAGAATTATAATAGGCCGACAAACTTGCATATAGACTGCTCTTTGAGGTTTTCTTCTTTTCTCAAATTATAAAGGAAGAGCCAATAATAAATGCTTCTTTAGCTATCTTCTGAGAGTTGTGCAGGAAGCTTTAAATATCTGGAATCTTTCCAGATGGATAGACAGATAAACATTATTTAAATAACACTACAAGATATGCTCAAAACTCAGTGGAAGAATATTTTGTTACCAAACCACAGTCTGGCCAACTTTACTATCTAGTTTCTAGTGTGTAAAGAGAGGAAGAAGGGTAGGCTAGAGGGGACTCTGTTTAAGGAGGCAGCATAGTGTACATAGCTGAGCACTAATCATGAATGTCTTTATGTAAGCAAACATTGAACCCTAGCTTTTTCATCTGTAAAAATGGGTCAATCATACACAAACTTTATTAAAAACTAGTTGAAAATCAACTATTTATAGATAAATGGTTTAATTACAGATAGGTGGTTAATAGTACTAGTTAGTAGTTGTCTCCTAACATTATATAGATGCTTGAGAAATGAGCTTTTCCTGGTGGAACATGGAAGAGGATACAAATTCATGCGAAGCAGAAAGGTTTCATTTTAATTAAGGTACCAAAAGAGGGAAGTTAATACTTAGCATACTTTAACCCTAAGTAAAAAGCATTAATTATTAAAGGTATAATCATGTCTGTTATAGAATCTGTAACTGTTAGTATTGAAATTTGAGATGTTTTTGTAATGTATATGTCAGTCAAGTGTGAATTTCTTAGATGTGCATTATTGTTTAGTTTATAAACTAGTTGATTATTTAAATTTTACCAAGATTATACCCACTGTACCATGTCTTAAGGAATAGCCAAATAATTGGCCACTCAATTTTAGAAGAACAATGTGAAGCATATTAATTAGTCTTCCTATTGTTTTCAGCTTAAAAAAGAGAGAGAGAACTCATGGGCATATGGACTTCCATGTACAACAATATGGTGATTACGGGGGGAGTGGGATGGATGGAGATGGAAAAGGTCATATAGGGAATAAATGGTGATGGAAAAAATAAAATAAAGAGAATCTTTTTTAAATAAAAAAGAAAGAAACCTCTGGGCACAGATATTTATGTATATACTTTAATTTTTGGTGCCATTAAGTGGGGAAATGTTGAATAATGATATTTTTATAAAAAATGTAATATGTGGACACTGAGTTGCCTATAAAAGCAGTGACTACTGAACTTATTATATACACTTAACAGTCAAAAACTGAACATGTGCTATTTATGAATTTTATTTGTGTTTGTATCTGTATATGTTTTCCTACATACATCCTATATAATAATAGAGGAATATGCAAATTAGCCAGAATGCCATAACATCACAACTGCTCAGCAGGAGGCATGCACAGCGGGAGCAGGTGGGCGGGGACTGCCATCACCAGTAGAGCCTCTTGCATAGCCCAGTCCGGGGCGCCCCCGGCGGAGGCAGACCCCACGCGCCCAGCCCAGAGGCCGCCTGGCCTGGGGGTGGCCCCTGGCTTTGCTATCTTGAGTTTGTGGTTTCCAAGGAAACAGCCAGAAGGGATGATAAACCCTCCCCAAACGGCTCAGCTGGCACCTAAGCGGTGGCTTCCTTTAAATTGAGCCTTTCCCGCAGTGAATGACCCCAACCCTCCTTGGATCAGGCAGGTTCCTGTGGAGTGCAATCTCCACACAATGCAACGGGGGCCCCAGTTTCGTCCCTGGCAATTTCATGCACTTTAGCTCGGGGTAGCGGGGAAGGAATGGAAAAGGCATCACGCAGGGCAGCTCTGGCAAGCAAGCAGAAGGAAACCATGTCTGGCAGACATTCCCCTGCCACCCCCTTCAACGTGTAAGAAGAATCAAATAAACCAATACAATCACTCCTCCCCTGCCCTGGGGGGATCTGGGACTAAGGGGTGTCCGCCCAGGCATTGCATACCTGTTTCCCACCCCCTTCATCCAAATTGACAGGTTAGGGGGTTAAAGGGAGGAGAAGGAGCCTCGCAGGAAGAGGATCCCTGGAACCACACCCCTGCCCTCCCTCCGGACCTGACCTCTCAGAGCGCAGGACCTGACCCCGCCCCCAGCAGATTTGCATATCCCAGACCCTCTGGTGCTTCCACGTCTTCTCTGTCTCCCAGCCGCTGATCTTCACTGTCTCCTACCCCAGAAGTACTCTGTCCTCCCAGCTTTCCATCTTTATAGCCTAAATGCATGGTGGGCATAGTTGCTTCTCCGTGGATTTTATTTGATAAGAACCCAGCGAAGTCGCTTAGCAACTGAGCTGCTCAGACTACTTGGCTTTGATAGCAAAGCAATCTTATTCTTTTATTTTTTTTAAAATAGACTTTTATTGATTTCAGAGAGTAAGGGAGAGAGAGAGAGAAACATCAATGATGAGAGAGAATCATTGATCAGCTGCCTTCTGCACACGCTCTACTGGGGATCGAGCCTGCAACCCAGGCATGTGGCCTTGACCAGAATCGAACCTGGGACCCTTCAGTCCTCAGGCTGAAGCTCTAGCCACTGAGCCAAACCAGCTAGGGCAAGCAGTCCTATTCTTAAAGACTTGATTTTTGTCATAAACAAGTGGATTTGAATAATATCAAACCAATATACATTTTTTAATGAAATGTCTCTTCATTTCTACTAATGAAATTCTACCTTAAAGCTTATGTTGTATAAACTATACTAATAAAAGGGTAATATGCTAATTAGACCAGACCTCTTCTGGACATCCATCCTGATGTCCTTCCACACAAAGCCACGGTGGTGGGGGCCGAGGAAGAGGCAGTTAGGGGCGACCAGGTTGGCAGGGGAGGGCAGTTAGGGGCGATCAGGCCAGCAGGGGAGGGCAGTTGGGGCGACCAGGCTGGCAGGGGAGCAGTTAGGGGCGATCAGGCCAGCAGGCAGAGGTGGTTAGGGGCTATCAGGCAGGCAGGCAGAGGTGGTTAGGGGTGATCAGGCAGGCAGGCAGGTGAGCAGTTAGGAGCCAGTGGTCCTAGATTGCGAGAGGGATGTCCGACTGCCGGTTTAGGCCTGATTCCTGTGGGCCTAAACATCCCCCGAGGGGTCCCGGATTGGAGAGGGTGCAGGCTGGGCTGAGGGACCCCCGTGCACGAATTTCATGCACCAGGCCTCTAGTTTTATATAAAATGTAAAGTGATAAATTGAAAATTCAAAAATAGAAATAAGTAGAGCAGTAGTTCTCAATAATCTTTGAAGACACTCCCTTTTAAAAATCAAATTTCTCAGCCTTCCAGGTGATACAGATGCTCCTGTATTTTAGGTACCACTATAAAAAAGGTCCCTGTATTACCTAAGTGGTTGAGCATCAACCTATGAATTAGGAGGTCTTGGTTCAGTTCCCAATCAGAGCACATGCCCTGGTTGATGGCTCCATCCCCAGTAGGGGGCATGCAGGAGGCAGCTGATCAATGATTCTCATCGTTTATGTTTCTCTCTCTCTCTGACATCAATAAAAATACATTTTTTAAAAAAAGTCTCTGCCCATGCTTTCATATTTAATGAGAGAAGTTTTATAGACTTTTATAAATAATTTAAAATCATCACTTTTCTGCATACAGAACAAGGAAAATATAAGCAAGTAAACTGGAAATGTATTCCTAAAACTTGACATTTGTAATATGAATCTTCTGAATCACTTTTTTGAATTGGTTATTCATGTCCATGATTT